ATGATATTCTTATGATAAAAATATTAAAATTTTATTCAAATTCAATAATTATTTATTAAATTATAATAAAAAATATCCGTCCAAAGACTTTTGCACCGAACTGTATATATAGATTATTGGAAAATTAATAGTTAAAAATAAAAAATAGTTAGATTTTTAATTTGCTAAACAAAATGAGAAATTTATAATAAGAAATAATTAAAGAATAATCCAAATTGTCAGTATTTATTACCAGTACTATATAATTATTAAATATTATATAGCATACAAGAATACTAAATATTCTTGTACAAGATTTACTATAATCCACCATGCATTTAGTGTTCCAAGTTCAATGAGAATCATGCAATTGATTTTCGATCTTTATTTGCATCCGGTATGAGGGGAAATGTCTGTCAGAACCTTGATTCCATCCGGAGATCACGTAGTGGTACATAGCGATGCCTATTATTGATGTGCTACAACCCGGAAAGATTAAAAAAACCGTATCAGGTATAATATAAATAATAATATGCATAATTGTTGACAATTGTTTTAGATAAAAATCTTCATGACAAGCTTTCCCGGTTAGGTAGGAAAAGCCTGTGCGTTCTTTACCATGTTAGTTACTGTAGAACAACCTTCAAGTAAAAGCAAAGAGATATCAGCAACTGCATTAAACGATTTTGGCACGACTCTGAGTGAACCAGATTCGATAATAACTGAAAGTTATTCTGATAATATTCCTTCACCTTCATTCGGTCCGACTGCGGTAACCCCGAGCACTACAATGACTGTTACCACGAAATCAACTTCCAACTCGGAAGCTACGACCTTTATGCGCCAATCTGACAAGAAACCTAAATATGGATTCTTGACTTCATTGTTAAATAACAACAGTTCTTCACTTTCATTATCCTCCATTTCCTCTGTTTCGGACACACCAAATAAGAAAAATGTAGAATCGGGATCAAAGTATAAGTTATTTAAATCTTGGGGCAATTCTAACGATTCGGAATACAAGGCCATAGAGAAGGCTCTTTCGAGGTATGAAAACTCTTTCTCGGATATATCTTATCTAATTTGATTCAGAGATTTATCATGAACATACATTTTTCACCTCGAAAAAAAAAAGATTTCAATCCAAAGATAGACATAAAGTCGCAGTGCTCAAGACAGCAGTAATTCCATGGCTAAAGAAATATACTACTGGTATTCTACATCATTCATAGTCGATAATACGTTGTCAATATTCTAACATGCATTTTTTTTTTTTCAAATTGTTCAGTGAACACTAATGATAAAGGCATACAACGAGGCCGTATTATTCTACTGAAATGGTTTATAATTATTATAATTTTCTCTATCTTGTTATATTGAATATATCCGAATTTAATTGGTTTTCTTTAGGTGGAATGTTTTGGTGGAAAACCTACCCAACACGGCATACACAGATCGCGGTCTCTATTTCGAATGTATATTATCATTAATGACTAGGTATGAATTCCTTATACATTATTATTATTATTATCATTATAATAATATTATTATGTTTCTCTATAAATTTATATTTGACTAAATCTTTTGACTTCGTACAATAGAAGCGAATATGAGGAATTTGGCAAGTTCAAAGATCGATCTTAGCTGCATTTTTGTAGTGCAGAAGAATATGCATTTGAAAAATTTAACATAATTAAAATTTGATTACTTAGACCGTATCGGTTCAATTAACCAAATAGAAAATGCCGATTCTGAAATTCCAATAGAAACGATAAATTCTTACCGTGCGGCATTAATGACAACGCTTCATTATGCAATAGATAGATTAAATCAAAAGGGAGTTTACTCCAATGTTATCTCGTTCTGCGCGAGAGTACTAGGTAATATGATTTTGGAATGTGTTTTTCATTTATTTTGCAATTAATTCATCAATTCTATCATTACCCAATATCATGTGAAAAGCTTTGTGCTTTTTTAAAATTCCCGGTGTTGGTTTCGCATTGCTTCATGCACTTCCTATAAACAAACAACATATCAAGAGAATCTTAAAAGAAATCGTTGGCGACAATATTTCAAGGTTTGCATCCTGATATTTATAAATGATTATTGTTCTTGTTATTAAAGAAATAACATGAGGCTTTTATTGTAGTATCGATCAAATTTCAAAACAAAATAATAAAGTCACACCACTATTCCCGGAACATTTAAAAATTCTCTGTTTTTCAAACCTGCAAACATGGTGGAGGCAAATTGAAAATGCCAAGCGGATTTGGGGAGAACCACCAATTGAAATGAATGGAAATTGGATTCGGAGGTGAATTTAAATTCGGAATTTATCTTAAAATATATAATATAAATATGATACCTTACTCTTTTTTTATTGGAACATATAGATGGCAGAGTGATGATAGTGAATTGTTTTTTTCATTTTATAAACATTATCACATCGTTCTTAAATCATATCTTGCAACACACCTCGCTACTTTGGCAGCTAATAAATCCATGACTTCTCCATATCAATATATCACCTCTCCCGGGTATATCCATCTCGCTTCCTTTTTCCTTCTTAAGATAG